AATGTTTTAAGAAAGACAATCTAGGCCAGGCATGGTGGCTCACGTCTATAATCCTAGCACTCTGGGAGGCTGAGGCGGGTGGATTGCCTGAGCTCACAGGTTCGAGAACAGCCTGAGCCAGAGTGAGACCTCATTTCTAAAAATATCCAAGTGTTGGCTCAGCACCCATAACACAGTGGTTAGGGTGCCAGCCACATACACCGAGGCTAGTGGGTTCCAACTCAGCCCGGGTCAGCTAATAGCCAGGCCTTGTGGTGGGCACCTGTAGTACCAGCTACTTGGAAGGCTGAGGCAAGAGAATCACTTAAGCCCAAGAGTTGGAGGCTGCTGGGAGCTAACGACACCATGGCACTCTACCAAGGGCGACAAAGTAAGACTCTGTCTCAAAAAAAGAAAAAAGGAAGAAAGAAAGAAAGAAATCTGCATCTCTATAGATCTAGATTTAGAAATGAATCTAAAATGGATTTAAATATAGATTTATAATAAATAATTTTAAAATTCATAATATTTGAATTTAAGTAAATTCCTCTATTTCATATAGGTTTTTCTTATATCAGAGTAAAAATTAAGTTGAATAACTTTATTTAAACATAGCATCAATGGAATCATCCCACTTTAAAAAGTGTTTTTTGTCTGTCTGCGAAGATGCAAAGATGTTCACCTGAAGTTATTTATAAGTAGTAAGATGTGAGGTGATTTTAGACTTTCTTTTTGTACTATGCTATATTGCTGAAATTTCTAAAAGTGTATATATTTTTTAAATACTAAAATGATTATTTAATTTAAAAAGGCTTCAATTTGTTTGATGATCGGGATCTGTGTACCAGATCACATCAACCAAATTTACAGGTACTACGAATCAGAATAGCAACCCGTTAATTAACATACCCCACCCTAGATCTACATGTCCTCCAAAGAAGGTATCTGCTTTCTGTAGCTGTATTATGTTCACTCAGGAGTCTAAATCACATATTAAAAGGCTGCTTGGCTCGGTCTGTGGCTCAAGTGGCTAAGGTGCCAGCCACATACACCTAAGGTGGTGGGTTCGAATCCAGCCTGGGCCCGCCAAACAATGATGGCTGCAACCAAAAAGTAGCCAGGTGTTGTGGCGGGCGCCTGTGGTCTCAGCTACTTGGGAGGCAGAGGCAGGAGACTCGCTTGAGCCCAGGAGTTGGAGTTTGCTGTGAGCTTCAATGCCGTGGCACTCTACCCAGGGGGACAGCTTGAGGCTCTGTCTCAAAAAAAAAAAAAAAAAAAAAAAAAAAAAAAGAAGGCTGCTTGGTGAGTGGAGAAATAGAGAAAAGGAAGTGAGTCTTAGGAAATGTCTTTGAAACGATCATTGACTCATGACTTGTCCTTCACTGAAGTAATTACTCTTTGTAAAGAACTGTTTTCTCAGTCCAAAATCAAGACTCTGTCTTTTTATCCTAAATATTTATTACAAGGCACAGTTTCCCAAGCTTATGATTGATACTGCTTATACTGGAGGAATGTCCCAGTCACAAAAGAGTCATTTCTGAAAAGATTGTACTCAATCCCAAACACAAGTTTAACATCCATGGTAGCTGCAAAACCGGAAGTTGGCATCTCAATCCTTATCTCTAAATTTCAGATTTACCTTACTTGGGGGTGATTCGAAATTTCTGTGTGTTTAAAGACATTCTGGTTTTTCTAGGAATGTCACAAGGAACAAAAAATTACATGTAATTTACAGAAGTAGAGCCTGTAGATTTTTGGGAAAGATTTAATGAAAAACATAAGTTAAATTAAATGCAATGCCAACGCTAAAAAGGTGATTAATTATTGTCAACACATCTCATTTATTAAAAAGAAATAAACATTCCATAAGCATTCCACTCCTTCCTTGAATTGGCTTGAGTTGAGCTTTTTTATAGGGAAGATTGCGGGCGGGGGTGCAGACATAATTATCCATGTACACAATTCCAGTTTTCCATTCTACTGGTATAAATGCTTCAAGATGTGTTAGTGTCCTCACTCAGTAACTCAACTCAGTCTTAAGAGATATTTTTGTCTGTGGGAATGCTATCTTGCCCTGAACTTTAGGTTATTAAAACATAATTATATGCAGCTTGGCATCCATAACTCAGTGAGTAGGGTGCCAGCCACATATACCAAAGGTGGTGGGCCTGAGCCTGGTCCAGGCCTGCTACAATGACAACTGCAACCAAACAAACAAACAAACAAACAAATGGCCAGGTGTTGTGGCAGGTGCCTGTGGTCCCAGCTACTCGGTAGGCTGAAGCAAAAGAATCTCTTGAGCCCTTGAGTATGAGGTTGCTGTGAGCTGTGATGCCACAGCACTCTACCGAGGGCAACATAATGAAACTGTGTCAAAAAAAACCCAAAGAAACAAAAAAAAAACGTAATTATATGTATCATCTAAATTTAGCATTTTTAAAATTAATATTTCATGGAGTTTAGGATTGTGAACTTTGAATTCTAGTAGGTTAGAATCTTAGAATCCTCCCTCCTATTTGTTGGCTAGAGACCTAATATAAAATAAAGACCCTAAATTGAATTCATTTATAAACCAGGAATCATATCACCTATTTATTTTTTAGGGTTTTTATAAGGTTTATATTAGATGTGTAGAGTACACAGTAGTTCCATATATGAAATCCATCTGATTATCTAAGGAGTTGAGAGGCATTCCTCTGAAAAAGAATTCATCAAATTTTTGTTTTAGAATAACCTTCTGCCAGCTTGCTATTGCTTAAATGATTGACCACACTTGGGGGAGGTGATCCAAAGATTGAAAAGATACAGGCAATATCTACATCAATCTCAAGCAAAATTCACATGCAAACACAAATAAATACACCCACTTCAGTTTATGTGGTTATCCTTCTGGGAGCCAGTGCATCATAATAAGGCATCTTCTCCTATGATTTGAAATTTAATCTGATTTTGCTTCTTCCTTTCCTGATATCCCATATCCAAACATTTCAATTTTAAGTCCTCTGCCTTGCTGCCTAATTAAGAAGGTCCTTTCCTCCCATTCCTGCTTCTGTCCTTCTACAGACAGATTCTTACCTTCATTTCTATAATAACCTCCTAACTGGTTTCCCAACTTTCTGTGTCCTCTCGTTGCAATCTGGCCTACCAATTACACTGGGACAAATCTTCCCAAATCACAGAAGCAACTATTTACTTTCATTCTCAAATCTCCAGTGGGGAAACAGATTAAATCTAAACTCACATTTAGCATGGAGATTTTCTATCAACTGTCATCGAGTTGTCTTTCAAGCCCCATTGCCCTCTATTCCTTTCCCCTGGAGTTGTACGTGAACGGCCCCACAACACCAGGTCTGGCTTACACGTGTTAATTTTCTTTGGCCCATACATGGCTTCATAAGTTTTTAATTAGTTGCTTATTTTAAATTAGTTGCTAAGATTCATACATTGATTGGAAGTTTTCACATAAAAATCCAGATTCTGGCTTCTCATGAAAAGTTGAAATGTCTGGCATGCTGGGCCTACATGGCACAAAGAGCAGGAGCCAGGCAGCCAGTGCCCTTCACTTGTAGAAACAGTGCCAGGCACCACAGCCTTCACCTGACTGTGTCCCTTCTCCCGGTAATGGCTGGTGCCTACAGATGTCTGAATTTACGATGCTTGCTCTATCCTACCTTGTGCTCTGGTCAAATGCATCATCATTCCCAAATCAGAGTATGTGTTTACTTATGTTTTCCTCTCTTTCTAAAAATATCTGCTCCTTCATCTCTCCTGTCTCTTTTCTTTGTCTTTTGGGTTCTTGTTCTTGCTCAGGCTGGTCTTGAACTCCCGAGCTCAGGTGATCTCCATCTCTCCTGCCTTTAAGCCCCATTTCAAACATCACATTTTCCATGAGGCCTTCTCTGAACATCTTACTGGATGTTACCGCCCTGTTTCTGACCTTCTATAACATTCTATGGTCCTCTTCTGGCCTGGAACCCACTCTCCCTGGGGTCACTGGTATCCTTCTTGTCTCCCCTTTCTCTGGGAGGTACACACGTCTCCCCACTCCTCAGGCTTTCTTGAGGAAGAGTTTGGGGATCACTCTCCAGCCACCTTTCCCCTCTGGGATCTGCCTGTCGTGCTTGGCAGCACAGTCCCTAATGGGCCAGGTCAGCCTGAGGTTGTTACCCAGTGTTTACTTCTGCCCCATTCTGAAACTCAGGCTTGGGAGGACTGTTGGTGCCACACACTCAGGACAGGGTTTCCCATCCGTGTTTCATCAACAAACCAAGCTAATATTTCGATCTGTGTTGCTTGAATACTTATCTCTCACTGTTTCTAAACTCGAGCAGGGAAAAGGAGGGGTTCTTATTGACCCCCTTGTAACTTAACAATCAGGACTTCTTTTTCCTCAAAGCTTCTGCAGCAGCTTGTAAATTTCATCGCACAAGACAGGCACTCAAAAAATATTTAGCAAATGAAATCAAAAGTCATAATCGATATGTATAAAATTCATGGAATATAATTTATCTCATGCTTACGTCCCCATAAACCATAACTTTTTTTTTTTTTTTTTTTTTTTTGAGACAGAGCCTCAAGTTGTCCCCCTGGGTAGAGTGCCATGGCATCACAGCTCACAGCAACCTCCAACTCCTGGGCTCAAGCGAGTCTCCTGCCTCCGCCTCCCAAGGAGCTGGGACCACAGGCGCCCGCCACAACGCCCGGCTATTTTTTGGTTGCAGCCATCATTGTTGTTTGGCGGGTCCGGGCTGGGGATTCGAACCTGCCACCTTAGGTGTACGTGGCTGGCGCCTTAGCCGGTTGAGCTATAGGCGCCGAGCCCATAAACCATAACTTAAAGGTCTCCGTGATGTTAACAAAACACAAATTGTTCCATCTGTGACACAAAATATTTATTTCCTATTTACATTTCAATTTTTATGCAAATCATTATGCATCATATCACGTATTAAAAAACAAAGAAAAAAGAAAATATATACTTTAAAAATCAGTGAAAAAAGCATCACACTCTGTGAAATTTATCAGCAATCTCGTAGTTCTTGTTTCTTGCCTTTTTTTGATTTTCTGGTTGTTTCCTGGCGAATGGTATTATATTCCAAAATGGCCATTCTGGAAAGCCTCTGTAAGTATTGGGACGGTGCTCCAGTGAGAGGGTCACTAAAGCTACAACCTGGGGGTGGTGGTGGTGGTAATAAGCTGTTAAAATTAAGTTGAGCACAGATGAATAATATTCTATGAAATACAGTGCGAGTGTAATACATGTTCCTCAAATGACTATGAAACACTACTAGTTCTTCATATGACACACACTTTGAACTGCAAATACCAAAGCTTACTTTCTAAAGTGACAGTGATAGCAAGTCACCTCAGAAAACATGTAACTAAAAAAACTTAACTAACGAAAGGCTTACATTTAATTATATAAAAATAAATCTGAGTCTGCAATGTACTTTCTAAACCATGGGATGGCTGTGGAACTTATTCCAAGGTAAAAGGCTCAATCTGTGTAAATAATTAACTCATTTCATGCTTTACATGCTTACCAAGTTATTTTCTTCAAATAAAATCATTTCCCATAAGTGCTAAGTCAAATTGTAAAGCAAAATAAATCATTCACTTAACCAAAATAGCATTGCTCAAGCTTCCATTATAGAGTGGTAGTAATAATAATAGATAACATTTATCGGGTGATCTCTGTCAGATACTTTACATCTATTTTATCCAAACAACAAATCCTATCTCAAATATAGATTTTTAAAAAGAATTTGTGGAGGCTAAGGAATGTACCAGGAGCACAGACCCAGTAACTGTCAAGAAGCAGGACTGACACTCTGATCTCAAACTCAAAGTCCCCAGGTAATCACTACATATTGATTCTAAATATAGAAATATGTAAAACATATTTCTATTTAGAAACACATAAGTATTTGAAAATAATATACTGACCCACATTGGTTTAAAATACTATTATTTAATTTCAAACAGTTTCAAGTGTCAATTAAAAAACCCCTGTCTTCAATTCCCCCATGTGGTTTTTATTTTTTGTTTGTTTTGTTTTGTTTGCAGGTGTAATATGAGTGAGAATTTCAGAGAGAGTTGAGAATATGATCAGGACTCCTGTTCTTAGCAGTGTAATGGACCTGACACTTTAAAAGACCCTCCAGCAACAAAATAACTAGATTCTAGGCATTAAGCAAACCTGAAAAAAATCCAAAGAATCAGTATTATATAGACAAATGCAATTAACTTAGAAGTTGTTAGCAATAAATTCAACATTCTCAAATATTTAGAAATTTAGACATATATTACAAATTATTCCTCAGTCAAAAAGGAAATCAGAACAAAATTTTTAAAAACTTGTAGCTAAGTTTTAAATTTCACAAAACGTTTCTGTGATGCAGAAAAAGTTGTACAAAGAGAGGTTTATACCCTAAAATTCCTGTGTTAGTAAAGAAGGTTGAAAATTTATATGCTAGATATAAGATACACAAGTAAACAAAAAAAAATTAGAAAAAAGGAAAGAAAAAAGATAATATAGGAAAGAGGAAAAATCTCAATGAAGTAGAAAACAAAGTTATGATGGAAGAGATTTTTTAAAAGACAGAAGTTCTTCATTGAAAGGATTAATAATGGCTTGGCACCTGTAGCTCAGTGAGTAGGGCACCAGCCGCATACACTGAGACTGGAGTGTTTGAGCCAAGCCAGGCCTGCTAAACAACATTGACAACTGCAACCAAAAAATAGCTGGGCATTCTGGTGGGCGCCTGTAGTCCCAGCTACTCAGGAGGCTGAGGCAAGAATATCACTTAAGCCCAAGAGTTTGAGGTTGCTGTGAGCTGTGACGCCATGGTACTATACTGAGGGTGACATAGTGACACTCTGTCTCAAAAAAAAAAGATTAAAAACGGAAAGCATCTGGTGAGACCAATCAAACAAAAGAAAAAAACACTCATATACAACATTAGGAAAAGAGGGAAAGACTTACAGATAAACCAAAGACTAAATATTATATTAACAACTTTTAAAACTTAGATAAAAAACAAAATTTGCTAAAAAATATAACTTACCAAAATTAATTGAAGGATCAGAATGCCTTAAGAGCCCTAAAGTTAAAATGATTGAATCAACATTAAAAGAGTCTCCCAAGGAAAATAAGCAACCAAAATAACTTTACAAATAAACTTTATTTGACTTTCAAGAAAGAATGGTCATTCTAATTTTAGGTCATATCCTTCAGAAAATAGAAGAGAGGAAATCGTCCCTAATTCATTCCATTAAGCCATTATAATCTTGACACTGAATCCAGAGAAGGACAGAACGAAAAAGGAAGGTGGATAGCTACAAGATCAAATTGTAAAAATTAATTACATTTCCAAATACCTATAATAGAAACCTAGAAATCTTAATTTCAAAACAATTGTGGCAGATCATTAGCTAAGCTCTCAAAACTTTTTACTCTTTCTTCCATAACAGAACTTTAACTGGGCACATGGTCATCCAGGTATAGATTACATTGCTTAGCTTGATTTAAAGCCAAACACAGCCATGTCACTAAGATATTAACTAAAATAAATTTCTGTTGTTTATAAGCCATCCAGTTCATAGTGTGTTGTTATAGCAGCCCAAACAAACTAAGATGCATGGACCATTTGTGGGTCTGCTTCTGTCATCTGTTTCTCCTCTTGGTTTTTGTCATTACTTACCCCCTATGCTGGGTAAAGTGTGATTAGACACTGTGTATGAAGAGCTACAAAGCTCTGGTCCATCTTAGAGTCCTCAGAGAGAATTTAAATTTCTTCTGACAGGAAGGTCACTTTCATTTAGTACAGACAAGGTTTTACTGAGTTTTTTGGATTTTTTTATTAAAAAAAATTTTTTTTAAGACAGAATCTTGCCCTGTCATCCAGGGCTGGAATGCAGTGGCCCAATCATAACTTACTGTTACCTCAAACTCCCGGCTTCAAGCAATCTTCCCACCCTGGCCTCCTCTCCTGGCCTCAAGTGGTCTCCTTTATTGGCTTCCCAAAGCACCAGGATTACAGGTGTAATTCCTACAGGAATTTTAATTAAAAGCCAGGGACGTTTACCAAGGGCCCTCCATCTTGGCAGTCCAAAACTCCCATCTCTGTCCTCACAGAAAAGGCTAATGTTACCAAAATCTCTGCTCAGTTCTTAAGCCTCCTGGGAACCCTTTTCTGCTTGATTTCCTAAAATATTGACTAGCACATAACTACTTGGGAATAAACACTTAGAGGGGAAACTGTCTGCAAAATCTGGGGCTCCTTTGCTTTGGTTATTTCTTCAGGATCTCAGCTTCTCCAGTCTTACCTACTGGTAAAGATGGTCTGACAAAAACTTGTCCATTATAGCCAGAGGAGAAAGTTCTCAAGGTCATTTTTTAAAAGGTATAACTATTAGCTGGGTGCAATGGCTCATGCCTGAAATCCTAGCATTCTGGAGGCCAAGGTAAGTGGATTGCCTGAGCTCAGGAGTTTGAGACCAGCCTGAGCAAGAGCAAGACCTCATCTCTACAAAAACAGAAAAACTAGTAGGCATTGTAGGTGCCTGTAATCCCAGCTACTTGGGAGGCTGAGGCAAGAGGATCATTTGAACCGAAGAGTTTGATGTTGTGAGCTATGACACTATGGCACTCTACCTAGGGCAATAGAGTGAGACTCTTTGTCAAAAAATAAAATAAAATAAAAAATAGGAGCCATGAATATTGTCCAAACTCCATCTATTGCTCAGCTTGAAATTTCAGTGGAATTATTAGTCTGGCTCAGCAGACTCCTGTAGGCAATACTGCTGTATCCTCAGTTGATTCATTCACTCAGTTCACACAAAAGATGTTGGACAACTTCTACAATTTTGCTGCATCATTTGCTGTGTCTCAGATGATACCAACTCCCTCTGAAATGTTCATTCCAGCAAATGTGGTTCTAAAATGATATGAAAACTTTCAAAGACGATTAGCACAGAACCCTCTCTTTTGGAAAACATAATTTAAGTCAAATTTTTAATGGATTCTGAAGTTGGTCATGTTTTGAAGATGAATGACTCCACTTATGAAGTCAAAAGGATCATGAAACCTATGTTTAAAAACTGCTTAGTTGGGGGCAGTGCCTGTGGCTCAAAGGAGTAGGGCACTGGCCCCATATAGCAGAGGTGGCGGGTTCATAACTGGCCCCGGCCAAAAACTGCAAAAAAAAAAAAAAAAATAGAAAATAAAAAAAATTGCTTAGTTAGGCAGCACCTGTGGCTCAAGGAGTAGGGCGCCAGCCCCATATACTGGAGGTGGCAGTTTCAAACTTGGCCCTGGCCAAAAACTGCCAATAAATAAATAAATAAAAATAAAAATTGCTTAGTGACTATGAGGCTTAATTAACATCTTATAAAAAATTTAAAATATCTAAAAATAAAATAAAATAAAATAAAATGTGTAACTACTGAAATAGATGAAATTTGCCATAGTAATCCTTTAAAAACTTAGATCAAATTAAAATCATTCCTTTTAAACATCATTCAACGGCTCCTCATTTCTTTTTTTTTTTTAGAGACAGAGTCTACTTTATCACCCTCTGTAGAGTACTGTAGCATCACAGCTCACAGCAACCTCCACCTCCTGGGCTTAAGTGATTCTCTTGCCTCAGCCTCCTGAGTAGCTGGGACTCCAAGTGCTTGCCACAAGGCCCAGCTATTCTTTTGTTGTAGTTTGGCCAGGGCCAGATTTGAACCTGCCACCCTCGGTATATGAGGCCGGCACCCTACCCACTGAGCCACAGGTGCCTCCCAGCTCCTCATTTCAAACAGAGTTAAATAAGAAATTCTGTCTAAGATCCCACATGATCAGTTACTTCATTACTTCTCTTCATCTTTTACACTTAATGATACTGGGCTCTGTTCTTCCAACAGACCAGGCACCACCTTGTATTGGGCCTTTGGTGGCCCCAAGAGAATGACTTAACTCATCTCTTTCAAGTCTTTGCACAAGTATTACTGTCTCAGTTAAACCTACTCTGACCATCCTATTTAGAATTGTACATCGCTATTCTCTACCCAGATCTCCTGATTTCCCTTACCTTATTTTTAGTTTTTGTGTTTCTCTTGCACTTACTTATCTTATAATATATACTATACAATGGATTCGTTTATTATTTTTAGTGTTCAGAGGCTATATCCTCATGACAGGCTGCAAGCGATAGCAGAGCAGTGATCTTTATTTCGTGCAGGGATGTGCCCAAAGCCCAAGCACCTAGAACAATGTCTGGCACACTGAGATACTTAATTCATATTTAGTGAATGAATAAATGAACTTCCTTCTTGTATGACTCTGAAGGAAAATAATTTTCAACAAAGTATTTACTGAAGACCCAATTTGTTGAAGAAACTAGTATTGGCCCTGTAAGAAACAAAGGTAGAAAAGACACAGGAGCCATAAAGTTGCCCTGTTGGAAAATAGGCAGGTAATTATTTGGCTCATGATGCAAAACAAACATCTCGTATTCTAATTAATGTTTATGTTTTTGTTTTAGGCTGTCTGTTGATTATAGAAGTTATTCATAGTATGTGGAAATTCAGAGGGAAAAAAATCTAAGGAAAAGTTTATGAATATTTAACCTTATGAACTTTCCAGTCTGACCTTTCAAAGCTCCTAAGAACTCAATTCTGACTGTTAACCAACAATAGCAATAGAAACCTTCCTTAGTATTTTTAGTTTTTGTGGCTTGTTTGGAGGTGTTTTATCAACTCCATTATTCCATAATCATGAAAGTGATAAACACACTAGAGAAAGATAACAATGATTGTAATAAGAATTAAAAATAAATAAGATTCTAAAAATCTTAACCTTTTGAGGAAATAACTGTTGCACCTAGGTAAAGGACGAATTCTTGGATACCCTGAAGGACGATGGCAAATAACATATAATGTTAAAGGTGTTGTGCTTAGACCAGTGGTTCTCAACAGGGAGTGATTTTTCTGCCCTGGAAACATTTGTCAATACCTAGAGATGTTTTTGATTTTCCCAACTTGAGGGACGCTAGCAGCAGCTTATGGGTAGAGGGCATGGATACTGAGAAACATACTACTGTGCACAAGACAGACCCTCACAACAATGAATTGTCTCCTTCAAAATGTTAACACTGCTGGCTCAGCGCCCGTAGCACAGTGGTTATGGCACCAGCCACATACACCAAAGGTGGTGGGTTTAAATCCGGCCCAGGCCAGCTAAACAACTGCAACAAAAAATAGCCAGGCATTGTGATAGGCACCTGTAGTCCCAGCTACTTGGGAGGCTGAGGCAAGAGAATCACTTAAGCACAAGAGCTTGAGGTTGCTGTGAGCTGTGATGCTATAGCACTCTACTGAGGGCGACATAGTGAGTCTCTGTCTCAAAAAAAAAAAAAAAATGCTAACACTGCCACCGTCGAAAAACCCTGGCTTAGACGATAATAAAAAAAAAAAAAACACAATTGACACAATGGAAGTTTTGACTATGTAGTTCAAGAATCTTTACCATTAACTTTGGGTAAAATTACTTCAAGAAATAGCCAAGAGTTTATAGTAGAACTTATGTGGTAGACATATGCATGAGTCACATGCCATTTCTGGTTCCCTCAGTCTAATGCCCCATGAATCCAGAGCACATAGAAGGGCTGTAGCCATAACCAGAATGACAGGAAACTCTCTACCATCTTGTAGGCAACATTATAAAGTGTAACTACCTGCCTCAACAAATTCTTCTATGTGTATTTTTTTTTAAACAGAGTCTCACTATGTTGCCCTCCGTAGAATGCCTTGGTGTCACAGCTCACAGCAACCTCAAACTCTTGTGCTTAAGTGATTCTCTTGCCTCAGCCTCCCAAGTAGCTGGCATTACAGGCACCTGCCACAATGCCCAGCTATTTTTTTTTTGCAGTTGTCATTGTTGTTTAGCTGGCCCAGGCCGGGTTCAAACCTGCCGGCTCTGGTGTATGTGGCCAGCACCCTACCCACTGAGCTACAGGTACCACCTTTCTATGTGTATTTTTAAAAAATGAAGTTCTGATCAAACATATCAGAAATGTGGATATGGGAGTTCCTGAGTTTAAAGCTTTTAAGGACAAACGCATATTTTGACCATGGTAGAAATATACCTTGCTGCAGCCAACCCACTTAGTTACCATGGACTTAGGAATAGCTTAAGAGTAGTTTTTTTGGGACCCAAACTGTTAGTATATAAATACGTTTCTGTAATTGGATGTCATAGATATACAGGATTCATAAAAATACTAATTAGAGAATAAAGCTAGACCTGAAAGTTGGGGGAAGATGGTAAAGGCTTCATTGCAAGGCTAAAGAGTTCATACTTTAGTCAGCGGGTGGTGAGGGACTTTTTCGGGAGAGTGATGTGATTAGAGGTCAAGGTTTCAGGCTTTTGTTGAGGATTTCAAAGGTTAGAGACTCAAAACACAGGGACCAATTTGCAAGCTAGTAATGGCCCAACTAAAGCATGATAAGGGCCTATCCCAGGGTCCTGAGATTATGAGAATATGTGTATAATAAGCCTAACATCCACTAAGTTTATAAAAGAAGCAAAGCTTAAAAGAAGTAGTAACAAAACAAAGACAATTAAATCAAAGGAAAGAAGGGAAATTATAAAAATTAAAAAGGTAAGTATGTGGCACCTCAAGACATGTGATGGAAAAAAGAATGAGCCCGCCTACCTTTGGATTTCTCCTGAAGTGGTGCCACCGTGGTCTCCCTAGGCTTCTTTAACCTAGATTGTACATTATCACAAAATCACTTGCATGTAAATATGGATTACCTTAACTTTGAAAGAAATAAGAGGCAAGCAGCACAATTTCAATGAAACTCATTTGTTGAATGATAGGACATGGAAATTAAATAAATGTTAAATAAAGAAACTCTGTTGTGACTAAGCCAATCAGAAGCAGATATGAACCAACCCAACGTCTTGGTTTTTGTTAGTAGAGTTTAGCAGTGGGTAAGTGTTATGTCTAAATTCTCTCATAGATTTTTGTCGTAACTCTCACTGGTCACGACTCAGACAATGCCATGACGAAGGGAACCAAAATTAATAGCATCTGGATGTGTTGGACACCAACTATCACTTTTTTGTATACTTTTTACCTGTCGATCACCCCAGTCTGAATTTTGTCATAATTAACATTTGTTCCTACTAGCATAGGTCTAAATACTAAGTAGATTGCTGGGGAAATACAAAATAATTGAATGTGTTGTGGGTGAGATAAATCAATCACAAGAATTCTAGATTTCTTCTAACTATTTTAAACTCTAAAAGTCAGCAGCAACTTTCAACCTCTCATGCTTTCATTTAAAAAAATAAAGACTAGGGAGGCGCCTATGGCTCAAAAAAGTAAGGCACTGGTCCCATACGCCAGAGGTGGCGGGTTCAAACCCAGCCCCAGCCAAAAACTGCAAAAAAATAAAAAAAAATAAAAAAACAAAACGTAATCAATGTTAGCAGCAACTTTTTAATACCCTTCACCTCTAGGATCACTGTAACTAGTTATATTACCAGAGTGTGCTTCAAGACTCACTGAAATTTTTTGATTAAATAAACAAATTGGAAAAATATTAAATTGTATTTATTTATTTATTTACGTTGAGACAGAATCTCACTCTGTTGCTCTGGGTAGAGTGCTGTGGTGTGGTGCCAGCTTAGCTCCCAGCAACCTCAAACTCCTGGGCTCAAGCGATCCTCTCGCCTCAGCCTCATCAGTAGCTGGGACGACAGGCGCCCACCATACGCCTGGCTAGTTTTTCTACTTTTAGTAGAGACAGGGTCTCACTATAGCTCAGGTTGGTCTCCAACTCCTGAGTTCAGGTGATTTACCCCCCTCGGCCTCCCAGAGTGCTAGGATGATAGGCATGAGCCACTGTGCCTGGACTTTAATCAGAATTTTTAAATAAAATGTTCGCATATGGGGAAAAAAAGAGAGGGAGGGGTTGTACACAAAACAGACACCAGTGAGTACTTCCCTGGTTGACCAGTACTGCTCTCTCCCAGGGCGCCGTGCAGCGTGCAGAGGAGAATAAAACACTTGCAGGCAGCTTGACAAGTTCTCGATAGAATCACTGAAATGAAGACACTTATGTCAAAGGCGGGGAAAAGAACATTTGTGCTTTCCAAACACTTTATATAAATTATGTCGCTTAGCCACCACTATTCTGCTTTGCACACACGCATGAAGAACACATGTCAGAACATGAATAAAACATATTCCATGAGCCTTCTTTGATTTAAATAAATTCACATTAAAGGTCAATGTAAAATGTTTAGAAATAATTTCAACAGTAAATTCACAAATGGAAATCCTGAACAACCCCCCTCCCAAATATTGAAATAGGGTAGAAACAATAGGAAGCAAAATGAAGACCCCATATTCAGAGGTAGACTGAGCCAATTCAGGGGTGCTATCCAAGGTTCCAGTTTCTTTAAGACGATCACATGTATTGAAGGAAGGGTAACGAAACTGGTCCATAGTGATACAAAGTCCAGTGCCACAGACAGCCCTATACACTCCTAACTCCTCCCAAAGGGTACTGTGGCCCCCAATGAAAATGACTAGAATAACGTGAGTGCCAGGGACACAGATAATGATGTAAACGGACTGTCCTTAGCAGATTTTGTATGTGTATTTCAAATGGTCCCGCTTCCTTCCGCATCCCTGCCCTCCCTCCCCCTCAAGGTATCTTACCATCTACTCTACTAGCAGCTGACTCTCTTTTCACCTTGTCAGATCCTGCCTTATTTTATTATAATCTTACTTCAGAAAGAGTCATTTGCTTTTTTTATAGCTTTAAGTTATATCTTCAGGCCAGGCGCAGTGGCTTGTGCCTGTAATCCTAGCACTCTGGGAGGCTAAGGCGGGTGGATTGCTTGAGCTCGGGAGTTTGAGACCAGCCTGAGAAAGAGTGAGACCTTGTCTCCACTGAAAATAGAAAAAGTAGCCAGGAGTTGTAACAGGGACCTATAATCGCAGCTACACTGAGGCTGAGGCGAGAGGATTACTTAAGGCCAGGAATTTGAGGTTGCTATGAGCTATGACACCATAGCACTCTACCAATGGTGGCAAAGTCACACTCTGTCTCAAAAATAAATAAATAAGGGCAGCGCCTGTGGCTCAAAGGAGTAGGACACTGGCCCCATATGCTGGAGGTGGCAGGATCAAACCCAGCCCCAGCCAAAAACTGCAAAAATATATAAATAAATAAATAAATACACACATACATACATATGTAAATACATAAATAAACTATGTCTTCAGGTAATACTAAAAATTATGAAAAAAGCTATAGTATGATATCGTTCATTGTGGTTTTATTTACAAAACCAAAAACATCAAAGCAACTTAAAATGCAACAATGGGGAATGTACCCATCAATGAAATAGAATGTGGATAGCCAGGCGTTGTGGCAGGCACCTGTGGTCCCAGCTACTCAGGAGGCTGAGGCAAGAGAATTGCCT